ACTTAAATATTGCATGTTCATTTAAAGCATTGATGAAAACAAGTATATCACTCTTTGTTATACCATCATTATATATCACTTTGAATAACAAAAATGAATGATAAGAGTCATTTTTACTGTCCTTGTTTTTGCTTCAAGTTTACTGCGTTTTAAAATTTACTTTATATGCCTATTTACGAACTTATTATTGGTGGTGTGAAAATAAGAGAAGTTAACATACGACCGACTTTTATGTCCAATACTACAGACTTAAGTAATAAAAAATGTGTTTACAGCGAATCCATTTTTTAATACTAATGTTTAAACTCTCGGGGAATCATAGTAAGTACAATAGTCATATGTAAAGCTTGTTTTTATTTTAAATTATATGTTAAAACGCGAAATGCAAAGAACGCACTGAGAAAGGACCAAAAAAAAACAAAGACACTCAGCAGGACCTTGTAAATAAAGCAGGAGAGGACCATGGAGGGATACACCGATAAATAAGCGTATTTATAAACTAATTAAGAAAACCCATAGAAGCCTATTAAAACTGTGGTCTTAAAATTGCAGAGCCATTCTTAACATATATAAGGACTTGACATTTCTCAGTTTCAGTACAATGTTCTATGTCGGACACAATCAATGTTATTATTTTCACCATAAAAAGAATTAATATAAAGCAACTTAGCAATGGTTTTCATTCTTAATGTTCTGCCGCGGAATTACCAGCCTGTTCTGTACATTTTCAAGATAACACAGTGGTACAAAACAATATAAAACACTCACTTTTGTGCCGCGAATGAGACTATACTTGTACACAATTATTCTTCTTATCGACCAACAGATGCACATAAAGGATTTTTTTGTCTGCCAAACAACTTTAATCGTCATGAAAATAATGACTGAATAGTTAACTGTAACATCCAGGTTTGGACATTTTATGGAACAATGGTAATGTTACAAATATTCAATTAAATAATATCATGTCAACAATTACAACAATGGTGTTCTGAACTTAGAAGTGTAGTGACAATTTATTTAAATTTAACTTTTTCTAGAAAGATGCTTAAATGTTGTTAATAACATTAATCACCATAAAGCTTAATAAATGTTTAGATGTTCAGCACATAAATTATTGATAGAAGAATATCAATAGGAATTCACGTATATGTACTAAATGCAGCATTAATCAAGTAGACAGTGAATAGATATTGCCTCTTGTCCATTCTATAATGAATTGAGAGGTCAATGTTTTCCTCTTGGCCGACCAGCAATAAATGTATATCAATAATGCAATCTTTGCAAAGGAAAATAATTTGAACTAAATAAGCTAAGTTTATTTATTGTGATATGTATAAGAGAAGCTCAAACAGTTAATTTTACATATTTAGGTATCTGTTTTTATATTATTATATTCTGTATCTACTTCTGTGGCTCATTATTTTTTATAGTACAGTGTAGTTTTGTTAACTGTATACCGTACGTTTCTTATGTAATGTAAATATGTAAGAACCGCCAGTAAAATATTTGACTTGATTCTTATAACATCCTTCAAAGTTGTAAATATTAAAAAATAATATATAAATCGAAATCATTTTTGTGTGATATTTTTGTGTGTGCTTTTTGTGTGTGTGAAATCAGAGATTTAATACCAGTATGTTATACGTTTTTATATTCACATGGTCCTGCACCATTTCGCTGAATCTGTATTATATATTTGAATACGAATATAAGAAACAGAAGTTTACTCACAAATTCAAGTAAGTGCAAATTAGTTATACTTAAAAAAACAACAACATTATTTTGCCATTAACGATCCCGTTAACTTAAAATAACTATAAGACAGTTAAACGAACTGCCAAAGTCATTTCCTCTTTTACTTAACAGTATTGAGCTGATTTGCTAATGTGCACACTTTTGATCTATTTACTGGACAGAAATTGATCCAAACCATAAATTGTAACAACTTTGTGCAATTTATATGTAAACAACCTGTTATTGTTTTAGAGAAAAATACCTTTCATCATATAAAATTTTATCTTCCTCTTAGATTGTCATAACATCTTTTGTTCCTTAATTACTAGGTATACATGTACCTCATCTTGAAAATCTTAAACATTACCAAAAGTCATCATGCAAGGAATATAAATAAAAGGAAGATAACTAAAACATGAACATGAAAATGTTTACACTTTTTTATTTTCCATAACAAAACACCCTAAGCACTTTCAAATAATTTGTTTTAACATAAAACGTATTTATGATTTTATGAGTTTCGAGAGAATTGTTTAGAAGCCTTGGTGGCAATTTAAGCAACAACTCATAGAGAAATGGTAATAGATCGGAACTATTTATATTTTAATATAATCAATATGATCTCCTGAAAACATTTCAATTTTTATTCTTCAAACGATTCAGTTCACCCCCATATTTATACCCCCATCACATAGTGGATTCGCTTTGTCGCGTCGGTCGGCCGGTCCGTCGGTCCGCACTCTCAGGACAGTAATTATGTAGCTAGAGGGACAATAGGTAACTGTTCTTTCTCTTTGATGTCATTCATTCCGTAATGCTTTTATGTGGTTATTTTCTTTTGTGTGGCTAAAAAAGAACAATAGAGAGAACAATAGAGTAGCCGTATTAATTATTACTCTACTGTTAGAACAGACGTCTCCATTATCGTGTCCGCTCTATAAATCCTATACCAACTGAAGAACTTTCTTCAAACTTGGCTCAAATGTTCACCTCAACAAGGGGGTGTGCAGAATTCATGTTGCCCATGTGTCACCTCAAGGTCAAGGTTACAATTGAAGATCAAATATCAAACAATCAAATATTAGACAGTATGTCGTGTCCGCTCTGTAAGTCCTCCACTAATAAAAAGATTTTCTTCAATCATGGCTCAAATGTTCACCTCAACAAGGTTATTTGCAGAACCGATGTTACCCTTTTGCCGGCTTACGGTCAATGTCACACTTGAAGGTCAAAAACTGACTCAGAAAATGTTCTTAAATTTTATAATGTACTTGAATATTTCTGAAACTAGCAAAGGTATTTGCTTAAAACTTAAATATATGAGGTGTCACAAGTAAGATATGTAGGTCAAGTTTCATAACTCTGTATTGCATTTTGACAAAGTTATGCTCTTTTTAAGTCTTCAAATTAACATACAATCAAATATAAGACAATATGTCGTGTCCGCTCTTTAAATCTTATACTAATGGAAGGATTTTCTTCAAACTTGACCCAAAATTTAACCCAAACTGGGCAATGTGCAAAACCCATCTTACCCTTGTGCCAGCTCAAGGTCAAGGCCACACTTGAAGGTCAAAAAATGACTTAGAAAACGTTCTAAAATTTCAACATGTACTTGAATATTTCTAAAACTAGAATAGATAATCATTAAAAAACTTCAATTATATACGAAGTGTTGCAAATAAGATATGCAGGTCAAGTTTCATAACTAAAAAAGTGGGGGGATAACTTTGTATTGTATTTTGACAAAGTTAAGTCCATTTTTATGTCTTTACATTTATTTACTATAATATTTCTTAAACTAAAACAGAACAGATATTTACTTGAAACTTAAAATTTATATGAATGTTTACAAGCAAGCTCAGATGACGAAAAAAAAAAAAGTCTTCAATTCCATTGAATTATGACACAAGTTATGCCCCTTTTAGGCTTAGCAAATGTTCTGATATAATCATTAATTCTTAAATGTTTCTGAAACTAGAACAGATATTCACTTGAAACTATATAATATATGAAGGATCACAAGTAAGCTCATAATGCAAAGTTTTTTCACTATTAATTACATTTTGACATTTTCTTAAATTCACTGCTTTTGTTTTAAACTATAACCTGTACAATTTGTCAATTTTCACCAGAAATAATTTCTTTTTATGTATATGACTGTATTTGTGCCACCAAAGTTATTCCCTTAACCACCTTTCCAAGTCGTCTTCTGTCAAGAACATTGGTGGGTGTAACATTTATATTTTCTATTTGGATGGCTTACTAGCACACAAACTAAACAAGACCCGAAGGATGGTTTATATATTTTATTATATGTGTTGCATCCAAGTATACACTCATAAACTCCCAAACATCAAGTAAACATACACACAGTAACAATAACGATATTTTGATATTGAAGGCGTGGCTTATTATTTCTTGTTGACTTGCTTACTTACATCCTCCTCTATCTTTAGTTTAGAACTCATCAATTAAAATCAATAAACTTAAATTATCAAAAGTTTAAATTTAAATGTGCAAACATATTGTAATAAGAAATATTTTTTTTCGTATGAAATATGCTATACAGCAAGTCTATTGTTATAAACTCTTCTCCTTTTTCAGCAGAGTTCATTAACCAATGCGATTTACTCTAATCAGTGTACTAGGCATCTGTTTCAACGAAGTAATGATAAATATAATGTTATTGTTAATTGTCATATCTTTTCTTTTTTTTCGGAATGTCACAAAATATCAAGCAAATTACATTATTATCACAACATTTGTTCAAACAACTAGCATTGTCATCAAAAGAATGATTTGTTTTTCCGTTCTACCACACAAAACCAATTACAAGGTAAATTAAGAAAAACAAAAAGTATTAATTTCACGAATAACAGAATGTTCTCACATACGCTATCATTTTTTTTCCTAAGATTAATAAATCCAGCAAGCGGATATAAATGATACACTGCTATGATAGCAAATATAATCAGGGCATTATCATGGCCCACACATTTGAGTCATTAACCCATATAGCTGTAACGAGAAATGGTATCATAGATTAAACCATTTTTTTTCTCTCTTTTTTTTTTTAATCTTCATAACGTCTCGGCGGTCGGCGTTTCCTCTGCGGCCTATTTCTAGGTAAAGATGTATTATCTGCAGTTTCGTCTGCACCGGCTCTTGATCTCCATGAACATATCTAAATTTGGAAACGTCCCGTGTGATTTCTTTTCCTTTATGTTTGATTGTAAGCATAGATCCTTTCATAGCGATGATTATCCCGGGGTAGGGTCAAACGCTGTTTCAAACTTATTCCGTTGTTCTCGTTTAAATAGCACACGATCTCCCAATTTCAAACTATTTCGCTGAGCTCTACGTTTCTTATCAGCGTATATTTTGTTTTTCGCTTTTGATAGACTGTCCCTGTCTCGAATATCTGTATCTTTGTTATCAAATGTCATCTTTGGTAATTTTGTCTTTAATTTACGATTAAACATTAATTCACTAGGAGCTGTCTGTGTAGTTGTTTGTGGTGTGTTCCGAAAATTCATAAGATATATACTTAACGCTCTTTTATAATCTTGTCTAGACGCTATCGCTGTTTTAATTGCTTTTTGCAGTGGCGCCATAAATCTCTCAACTATTCCATTTGCCTGTGGGTGCAATGGAGTAATTCGTTTATGTTTAAATCCCGAATTATCAGCAAATTCTCTGAATGCGCGACTTTGAAACGGAGGTCCATTGTCCGTTTTCACTACCTCTGGATATCCGAATATCGAAAATATCGCCTCTAATCGCGGTATGACTGTATCTGCGGCTGTCGATTTGATTCTTTCAACTACTGGAAATCTACTGTAGTCACATATAACAACTAGTAACATGTAACCTTCTGGAAATGGTCCACAAAAGTCACAACTGACTTCAGAAAACACATCTCGTGGTAGTAATGTTGGTTTAATCGGGTCTGGAGTAATTCTTGTTGATGCAGCTTGGCATACAATGCATAATCTACAAATTTCTTCTACCATTCTATCCATATGTGGAAACCAGCAGTATTCACGTAATAATCCTTTGCATGTTGATTGGCCTTGGTGACCTTCCTGCGAAAGCATAACAGTTTGTTTTTGCAGACTTTCTGGTAAGCAAAGTTTTGTACCCCGTAAAAGCACAAATCCATCTTCCGTATATGCAACTGCAAGTTCTTGATTTTTATTCAAATTCTCGTATAACCGAAAATTTTCATCTAATTTTGCAATTTTTTGAGTTTTCCAGTCATTTTGTTCTAACGCATTTCTTACACAACTTAATATACAGTCCGTTTCGGTAGCTTTTGCTACATCTGACAGCTTCAATGCATCTGGCAAAGCGTTATCAGTAATAAAGCTGATATACTGCTCGCTACTGTATTTGTTTCGTGTCTTGCATGTGGATGCCTGGAAAGATAATCTGATATCATCATTTTACCTGGTCTGTAAACTGTCTGGAAATCATACGTTGTCAACTTCAAAAACGCCAACGTTCTAATCTTGGTGATTGTATTGTCTTGATATTGTTGAAGATTGATTGAAGTGCAGCATGATCTGTTATCAGTTTAAATTTCTTACCGAATAAATACAAATGGAAATGCTGAATCATGATGACAGCACTCAAAAGCTTCTCTTTCTGTTTGAGAATATCGCGTCTGAACCGAATTGTATGCTTTGCTTCCATATGATACTATTTTGCCGTTTTGAATAAGTATTCCTGAGCATCCAACTGGACCTTCCGTCGACCCCAGAGTTCAGTTTCCTTTCTAGGATCGAAATATGTCATGACCTTATCACTAATTAAGGTATCTTTTTAATGATGTGAACGATTTTTCTTTGGTCGGCAGTCCATTCAAATTTTACACCTTTATGTGTAAGTCGTCTTAATGGTTCAGTTAAGCTTGAATAGCCATCTATGAACTTAGACAAATAGTTCGTGAGACCCAGAAATGAACGGATTTCGGATACTGATTTTGGTCTGTCCATATTTTTCACTGCATTTACTTTGTCAGGATCGGGTGAAATTCCGGATTCGGAAAATACGTAACCGTAGAACTTGATTTTAGATTGTCCGAATGAACATTTTTGGCTGTTCAGTGTGAGGTTTCGATCTTGAAGACGTTGCAGTAAAGCGCGAAGATTGGCATCGTGTTCCGCCTGTGTCTTACCAAAACATACGATGTCGTCGGCAATATTCAATATGCCTTTTAGACCTTGAAGTGCTTGACGAAGCTCGTTTTGGAAAATTATCGGTGCTGCGGACACCCCGAAATTTAGACGTTTATACCTAAACAGTCCAATATGTGTCTGAAACGTTGTCATTACACGTGATGCTTCATCCAATTCAATTTGATGGAAAGCTTTGTACAGATCTAGACGTGAACATACCTTTGCGCCGTTTAACGTCAAGATGATATCATCCATCGTCGGGCAAACATTTTCTGTGTATTGATTGCGGTGTAACCTTTTCTCTTATCACATTCTAACTTCATGCGGAGCATTATGTTTCTGAGCAGCTACTAAGTTCGAACCCAATGGTGTCGGTAAACCTATAACCTTTTTAATAACATCCATTTTCTCTAAACTTTAAAGTTCATGTTCGACTTGCGCATGTACATGAAATGGCACTCTCCTATGTGATTGAGCTACAGGTACAACACTCTCTTCAATATGAAACTTAACTTTTCTGTCTTTCAGACATCCTAAGCATGTGAAAACTTGAGAGTATTCTTCAATAAGTCCTGAATATGCGTCTTTGCTTTGAAACTGATTTTTGAACTGATTGTATTTGCGGTAAAATCCCAAGCTCTACCGATAATTCATAACTGATCAATGATTCTTTGTTGCCTTTAACGATATGGAAATCTTTTGTCATAAATTTTTGAGTCCGACTCCACAAGCAGGGAACATTTGCCTATGAATGGAAGTGGAGATTTCTGCCCGAATGCGAATGCTTTTTGTTTTCGTTTTCTTGATTTCTGGACGAATTTTCATTTTCTCGAGGTCGATTTCGCTAATAATATTTAACGATGAACCGCTATCTATCAACACATTAACATCTTCGCCATTTAATTTAATGCATTTCTTTGGCACTTTTTTCCCATCTGATATTTTAAATCCAAATAAAACATCGCACTCATTTGAACTGACACTCGGTGTGCTTGCTTTTGATAAAACTTGTGAATCCGACTGTTCATCATCGATTAATTTCACTTTGTTTTGACGTTTTCTGCAGACCGATATGAAATGATTCTTCTTATGACAGTAGTTACATTCCGCTCCGATAGCCGGGCAACGTGACATATGGGGATACTTTCCTCCACAATTTCGGCATTTTTTATTTCGTTCTGGAGGGTTGTTTCGCCTTCCCGACGACAAACTTGCTTCTGGGATAGTTTGATATGAACGTTGCTGATAACGTTTAGGTGCGAATCCCTTTGATTGACGGCTAAATCGAGGATTGCTTTTTACCCGCACTATTTGCTGACTACTTGTATCCTTTGACATATTTGCTGCTTGAGTTTTTGATATTTCCATGGTTTCTCATTTTTGTAAGTAAGTCATTAAGTGATTTTATCCGGATCTTGTAAACACTGCATTCTCATGTTTTGTGAAACAACACCCTGTATGATCTGGCTTTTTTTTAATTTCTGAGTCAATGTCCAAAAATTCACAATTCTTAGCTTTCTGGCGTAATCTTGTTGTAAACTGGTCGATAGATTCCCCATGCAATTGCTTCATATTACGAAATTCGAATATTTCGAATTGTGTGTTTTTTCTTGGCTTAAAGTATGCTGTTAATCCAATTTTCGTTTCCTCGTAGTTTTCATTGTCTTCTCTTAAATTCAATGTATCATAGATATCGTAAACATCATCTCCTGCATAATGAAGTAACAGTGCTTTTTTTCTTTTCCTAGTGTTTATTCCCAGTCCAACAAATAAGTTTTCTAATTTATCCAAATACTTTTCCCATCGTACTCCCAGAGAATTTTCATCAGCAAAAACATCGAATTTCGGAAAAGCAGGTAAATTATCCATTTTCAAATCTGTTTTTTTTTTCACAGAGTCAGTTTAAATTAATCCGCAATTTTTTTTTTAATATCCGATCCTCGTCGCCAATGTAACATTTATATTTTCTATTTGGATGGCTTACTAGCACACAAACTAAACAAGACCCGAAGGATGGTTTATATATTTTATTATATGTGTTGCATCCAAGTATACACTCATAAACTCCCAAACATCAAGTAAACATACACACAGTAACAATAACGATATTTGATATTAAAGGCGTGGCTTATTATATCTTGTAGACTTGCTTACTACAGTGGGGTATGAATCGCATTCAGCGATTGTTCTTGTTTTGATAGTTGTGTCCCAGTGACTTAACAAGAAACTCTTCATTGTCTGTTTTTTTTTCAAACATTGTTTTCCTTTTTGAGATCTTTATTGTTTAAACTGGGACTTTGGCCCAGATTTAAACTAATTTTGATATTTTACGCAGTGAGGTAGTATTTGTTGCATGCAATTGCAATGCACAACGGACGCTCAATATATTAATCCTTTGCAATTCAAAATTGACCCGGGTCGTAATTCAACGTTGAAAAGTTACCCCAATTTTTTGATATTTGGAATGTAAGTTTTAAGGTTAAAGTGCATGGAGGTATGAAACGTCAAAAACGTATTAATGGGTAAACTTAAAGCATGTTGGTGCGTCCGTTCGTTGTTTCCACAGATTGCATTACCTTTAAATCTAATTTATCGTTCTTTATGTAGGTAAAACAAATGAAAAATACAGTTCAGTAACATTTGGGGAATATTATTAAAATCGTGCAATAAAATCGAAGTATTAAAGTTATGAGACGTCGCACGAAACAGGTCATTAAGGTCATTAATGAACGAGCGTAAATGAGTCATTTTTATTACGCTGACATTAAATGATATCTCTATACAGACGGCAAATGTCATAATTATGTGTCTGCCCCTTACTCTTATCCCATTTACGCAGCATCCTAAGTTGGGGCTTGATTTTTGTGTGTTTTGTTTTGTAGTTTAAAATTAATCTTATTTTTAATACATCGGTGAAAAATTAAGTGAAATATGTTATTCAAGGTTTGGAAAATTGAAGAAAGTATTGGGCACCCACCTTGTTTTAAGATTACCTTTACATAATGGTGTACCCCGTCTGTCAAATGGTGCCCAGCTTATCAACTGCAGCTATTCAATGATATTTAAGCTACTTTACTCAGAGGACATCAATTCCAACCCCTATTCCTTGATATATGAATCGAGAGTCTTCTTTTAAGGTATTGTTACTGTTAAACATGTTCAATTTCTGACAACATTGTCATTTTTTCTAGTATATGGTAGGGACACCAGGCTTCCCATCGAAATCGAGCTTCCACCAAATTCTAATGCTGAACAAATAGATATAAGTGAAAGAGTGACAATATTTAAAAGCCTAATCAGTATCGAAATGAAGCATGTGCAAGCATGTGTTCGTTTATTTTTATGAGTTTTCAACAGTATTTCAGTCCTGGAAATAACCAGTACCAGACCCCACTTCCTCCACGGGCAAACTGCAAATCCCTGCCTCTTCCCCAACAAGAAACCACGCCACACCGGCGTACCCAAGCTCAGCCGGGCTGCATGCACCCGTGCGCCACTGTCCCCTAGCTCGCAGTGCACATCACGCGGCGAAGTACCGCTCCTGTACCCGCCGCCTGCCAGCCATGCTGACTTGCCACTCTACCACTTGGAAAACGTTTAAGACCACACGGCCAATAGGATATTAACAAATATGGACTGACTTAAATGCATTCGTATTACCCATTATCAATTATTCCTCGGCGGAAGGAATGGCAGGTGCACAACACGCAACTTGTCCCTTGATATTTGCTACCTGCCGCTTGCTACATGCTACTTTTCGCTCGGCAGTTGGTATATAAACAAAAATAAGAAAACGATTCAACCTTCGTCCACAGGTAAATATTCGACTTGTTTAATATGCGGTTCAACAAATATGTCATTCCGCTGCGTTGCTTCTTCGTTATCTCTTTTATTCATGCTATCATTTCACATATATTGTAATAATATTAAAGAATATAACATGCATTTTATCCTGTTGATTGATCATGTGTTACTAATTTTCCGATCCTCTGTCCGAACCGTTCAGCACTAGATTAAAGTCTTCAGCGGACCCGTATTTATACTGTGACATGCCGTGATGTGCAGCAGATGAAAAACAGATATTTTAAAAAGCGGCTTGGGGTTGCGTCAATTGACGCCACTTTCCGGGTTGATCTTGTTTGTCATATCTTATACAGTTTTGGAAGCAAGAACTAGTTTAGCACGACATAATTGTTATAGTTTTTACTATAGTCGGGTGGTTCAAATATTCCAACTTGAATGATGTTGAATCACCCTTAGGATATGTTGCTTGCATTTAAAATTTGTCTTTTGACGTCTTATCTGTGATATGCAGGCTTCATAACCCCCAATCTCCTTTCAAAATTCAATTGTATTTTGTTACGCTCATTGTTTTCTCATTTATGCTGCACACGCTTTCTTTTCCTTAAGGGCCATACACCGGTACTCAAGGAATGGCAAGAAAGTGTCACATTAAAGGTTCCATAATAACCACCGTGTGGACTATATCTGTGGATATTTTTTATATTCAAAATTTTACCATTTTCATGTTTAAATGTTAAATCCTGCTTTAGCCGGTGCTAGGGGGGGGGGCTTCAAGGGTAGCTTTCACTTCCGTGCATGAACAGGCTGCAACAAATTTGGCGTTTTCGACGTTCTTTCGTGGATTTCTTTATGTCTCTAATTTTGCAACTAGTCGCGGACTGTGATTCATGAATATAGCTCTTCCTTGTTAACCCTCCTTTCATAATTCTTCCTTCGTATTGTACTGTTAGAGCAAACCCATTAAAAGGAACTATTTGTACTTAAAAAGCATAAAATGAGTAAAAATATGAAAAGGGTGAAATATTTACAGTTATTTATCATTGTGCCGCGTGGTGCGCTATTTGTGCCGTGTGTTTTATGACAATCTAATCACTATCTTATATTTACCTTTTACCCTATCTGTTTAGCATGGCAAACGGCAAGTCGGCATGTTCGAACACCGCATTCATTACTGCGGACAAACATTACATTATAAGTCATCGAATTAAAAAAATACTCAATATGCAGAACAATAAGACGAACGTAAAAAGAATGCAGAAACCCCACATCTGATGAGGTCTTTGCCGAGAATTTATTGACTGGTGCTGCGACATCTTAATTACAAGCGACACAAATGGAAGGTAGTCCTAACCCAGGACAGCAGCGAGCGGGAGATAGTATGTTAGTAGCATTGTATTAAGTGAATTGCCGAGCACAATGAGCGAATAAAAGGCATTTCAAGTGAGCAATGA